ATATATATATATATATATAGAGTTTGTTTGTACAAGTATTAAGTATGTGCTATATATGTCTATCGAATCTCCTTAAGGAATTTCTAATAGAGACTTTTAATCACTCAAATCGTCAATCAAGAGATGATCCTTTCGCGATCTAGCAGCGAACTAAGATGAAACTCGCGTTCGTGAAGGCGATTGAGCGAGAGAGCGAGGATAATCAAACGATTAGTGGATGCTTCGTCGCATCCTAACGGTACAAACAGGTCGGGCAGATCAGCCATGAAGAGTGCAAGTGCCGCTCTCTTTCCAGCGAGATGAAAATATACGCGGCTGTTGCTGATCAAGGGCCGTTCGCAGACAGGTACGATGGATATCCATAATTGTTTCTCGAGTACGGCATCCAGAATGACTTCGACACGTCGATTTAAGTCGGGCAGGTATTTCATGGAGCAATAGAAATAAACTAGAAAAACTTGGAAAACACTTTACGAAAGGGGAACGGTAAACAAAGATATTAAAAACGCCCAAGTACAGGACGAAGAACGCTAAAATAAAAGAACAGCACGCTTTATTGATGCTCCAGTTATCAATATCTGTTGGCAGTTTAAATAATTTACGAGACAACGACCGAGTATTGGGTCGTCGAGTTTTCCCCGGCGTAGATGTATTCTCGGTCATAAATGTGGAAAGAGTTGCGAAATTTTTCTCTCGTACGCATGGTAGAAAACAATAAACTGGTAAGGCAAGTAGAAGATATACGATACCTTTCGTGGGCAGGCTTCTAGGAGCATGTACACGTTGAGATTGTCCTCGAAGTAATGATGCATCTGGACGACGTTCACGTGATTCAGCTCTTTGTGAATCATGATCTCACGCGCGATCTACGAATAGCATAAAAAAAAACATGTTATTCAGCGAAATAAATATAAATAAATATAATGCGCGCTTTTCACTGAATAAATATACGCACCTTCTGCATGTGGATCCTCTGCATTCGATTCTTCGGAATAATCTTACACGCGTACTGATTCCCATTACTGACATCGGTCATTAGGTAAACCCTCGCAAATCCACCCTAAAAAGTGACATAAATCATTTATCAATTAAAGAAATAATCCTATTTTCGGTCTTAGTGTTTAATATTAGGTGTGGGAAAAAGTTCATGGCGTTTTTCCCATTAGATGACATTAAAAAAACGCCACGAACTTTTTCCAACACCTAATAATACTAAATGTAAATTTTTGCAAATATATTATTTCAGTTTTATAAACTGCATAATTGATACGGTTTATTGAATTTGAAACACAATTGCAAATTGAAGTAAGAAATTAATATCTCAAGTTAGATCAATCATCCATTTTAATGCTAATAAGTATCTTAAAAAGTTGTCTCAAAAACTTGTAAATAATTTTTGCGAAAAATATCTCAGCCAAGACCATTTATGATATGAATCAATTATAATCAACTCGCAATAAACGTTTGACTCTTGAAAGAATCAAAGCGATACAACGCGATCTTTATCAATATTATTTTTGTGACAACGTGATCCGTCTCTTTCGCGAAGAAGAATAACAGCCGCGTCCTTCTCTTCCCAGTCCTAGAATTCTCAAATTAGATTCCAAGAATTTCTCCTCGTTCATCTTCGATCATCCGTCGATGGTCTTAGTGAAAGGTTCTCTGCACGACCGCTTTCGTTCTTAAAGTAATCTTCTGAAATTATCGTTTATTGCCTCCGCGCAGTCGAAAGAATGAAAGAAGAAAGTGAAGGGAATTTCTTTTTACGAGATGCTATTCTTTGCGGCTTTTGACAATCACAGGAGCCTTCCGAATAGCATGATACGATGGAAAGTAAACGTGTGACGATAGAAGGAACGATGTATCCTCTTTTACTAAAGATAATGCCTCCAATTTTATAATGTTTTAAGTTACAAAATACATCATTGCGAATTAATATAAGGAACTAAGAAAAAGTGATGTCAATGATAATTCTTTACTTAGACTTTTTTAATGAATAAGGGACATGAGAAAGAAGTCAAAAGAGGACATGTATAGATAGAGGGAAGATATGGAGAGAAAAGGAAAGTAAAGTGAACTAAGGAGTAAATAAGTAAGATAAATATGTGATAATAATAATAGACGGTGATAAGACTGTGATATAGAGATAACGTATGTATGTATGTATGTATTGAACGAGAGTATAACATTAGAAGTAGATATAATTAAGAGGCAAGTGGATAAAGCGAAAAGAAATAAAATGAAATAAAATAAAGAAGCGAAGTCAGGGTTAACGAGAAAAGTAGGAAAATAAAGAGATAAGCAAAAATTTTATAATAATATTTTATAATAATATATATGTGCGATAGTTTGCGGACGAAGTATGTATGAATGAGTTAAGAATTTATGTAAATCAAGTCCCTTTCTTGACTGTAAATATGCTGAAGTGTAATAAATTCTATTCTACTTAGATTCTTTAATAGCTCCTCTAAAACAGCGATTTAATGATACTGTTTTGTACGATGATGATCATAGATTTTCTATTTACTTAGAAATAAAACATTTTGTTTTACCGAAACAAAACATTACATAATAATAATAATAATAATATAGGTATATCTTTCTACGAAATGCAATTATGTTTAGTATTTTTGAACTTCCCTAGTTTAACAAAAGTATAGAGATTTAAATCAATTAATTACTAAAATCGTTCTGAAAAAATGATTGTTGTCATGATTGGCCATAGTATGGCGAAAAGTGCACGAATGACGAAATTAGTCTAATCATAACCTGCTTTATAAGTAGACGTCGAATTTTTGTTATGAGAAGACACGCTATCTCTGACAGCTTCAGGAAACGCTCTTCGCTCTACCATAATAGATAATTTTGTTGAAATTACTAAAAGAATACTTATTATTTTATAATGGCAATCAAATTTTATATTATTATTTTACAAAATGTAAATAACCAAATAAATTTGTACTGTTGAATAAAAAAATTTACAATATCATCTAACAAAAAAATATTATATTTCGCTATTTTAACAAAATAATTCAATGATAATCGGTACTTGTGAATAATCTCTTTTTTTTATTATTTCTATATCTTTTTTCTCGGTGTTAAGAGATATTAAGAGAAGCCGAAAACTTTCTTCCCAGCAATAAAACATGTACAACCTTGTATATTTTTTCAGCCTAACCAACATCATTGAAGCATTATTGAAGTCTTTTAGAATACACTACGTGTAAGGGTGTAAGCCTGGTTGCGACCAATAATGTCGGAAAATCGCGTCAATAAACTATTTACTATAACAACAAGTGTACACACAGAAAAACGCTCGCGAAAAGAAAGAAGCTGAAAAAAGAAATATTAAAAAGTTCGTAAAGTTTTTGAAATTGCTTTAACATGGATATATATTTTAATAAATTTGGTACGAAGATAAATTTTTGCTCTCCCCCCTTAACTGAAATTCTACGTAGGTCTATGAGGTACGTTCACCTCTTCTCCCCACCGAGATCTTCCGACAAACAATGCGGCCACGAGAAAATCGTAAATTCGAAACCGACTCTGTTTTCCGAAATAGCTCGTCACTGGCGCGAGAACAAACGACAGGAAGTCTCCGATCGCAATTTAACGATCACTGGCGCGAGGGAAAGAGCGTGTATTTGGTGGGCCCATTGCCAGAATAACTCACGCAAAAATATCCCAAATGAATTACGAGAGTACGTAATACGTCTCAATGACGTATGACGTCATGCAATTGAATTATCGCAATCGTATTCCCGCATTCAGCTCCAAACTCTTTGATCCGATACTCGATCATTCACGTCAGCAACAACATTGCACATGCGATCCTCGTATATTCAGATAAGACCTGGGATAAAAATGGGGCAAAGCTAAACGCATGACCTCGGTAATGCAGATTGTAGGTTGAGACCGTCCATAAGACGAGACTTTCGTGCCAGCCAACGCGACCCAGGTATCCCTCATTCTCTCGTCCTTGCCGTGTTTCGACGATAATCCCCGGTACACAACAAACATACGGTATATTGAGGGTTCGCCCCACCGTACGTGTACGAAGCGGTTCGTTTATCTTTAAATATCGCCGGCAACAACTAAAAATACTACTTCCCCGCACACGTGCACGCGCTTTTGTGCACGCACGATTAAATGGACTGTTGACAAAAACCTCCCGAGCCTTGTCCCCGTTTTGCATTTCGCTCCTCGAAATCGGGACCGCACCACGCGTACGCATTCTTGTCGAAATTAGCGCAGCTCGGTAATCATTTCTCGACCATTTATATTTTTTTCTTTGTCAAGTAATCGAGATCTTCTTCGCCGTTCCTACAATGCTGGAAAAACGTATTCGTCCTTTTTTATGTTGCGCGAAATTGCACTCCATACTGTTAGATATCAAAGGAGCAATGATAATCCGATCTTTTGAGTTAACATTTATTATTTTTAACTTTGATGTGTATCAAAATGTAAATTAATCTATTTCTGTAGTTAGTTTCGAAGTAAACATCGTCCATATTAATGTATACATTACATAGTAAATGATAAAGTAAATTTAAGCCAAATTTTCTTGATTTAAATTGTTTAACTCTACTGTTTTAGTTAAATAATATGTATTGAGCAGTAGCGAGAAAACTATAGAGATTATTAAAAGTAACTCAAATTGGGTATTATTATGAATTTAATGGGGAAATCCTTACAAAACAATTGCGTACAGTTTGCTTACATCACTTTTGTGCACAAATAAAAATTTTAGAAACAGAGTTACTTTTGCCTACATGTATTATTACCTACATGTATTATTGCCTACAAGTCGATTGCCTACATATATTATTGCCTACAGCTCACAACCTTCCACGCGAAATGAGAGCCATCTCACACCAAAAAATAGATTAGGTTAGGGTTAGATTTTTTTGAAAAAATATTCCAAGCGGACACTGTCAACACTGACACCTCACTGTTTACATGACAGATTTTCTAAAAATATAAATTATTTTCTTACTTAATTTTAATTTCATATTTATGCGCAAAAGTGCTTATAGGCAATTGAACTGTAGGCAATAATTTTTGTGTACAAATGAATTGTCGGCAAAAGTAATGTAGGCAAACGATATTGTAGGCAATCGATTTGTAGGCAAAAGCAATCATCTCGAATTTAACAGTGTAATAAGGAGAAACATATGGAGAAAAATGTAAATACGTATTAGAATTCTAAATTTTATGGAATTGACAGGTCTATATAGGTGTACCTTAAATAAAATTTACTTTATTTTTCTGATAAATAAGTGATCTTTTTCCATGAACAATCACTTGTATGATCTTCCTCTTTAGCTTTCCATTAGATATTCAGGGCATTCACGAAATGAAATAATTAACCGACGATCGATTGATTTGACGAGTGTTGA